GGCAGATGAGTGAGGCACAGAGCCTTGTCCTGCCTGTGCTGCAGAAAGGCTGATGAGGTGGATGCTCGCTGTTGCTCCAGCGGGGCAGCTCAGGCATTGCTCTGTTGTGCCATACAGATCCTGAACCTGACTCAGGCGCTGAAAGACGGGAAGAGCCCCCTGCACCTGGTTCAGATGCCCCCTGTGATTGTGGAAACTGCACGTTCCCACCAGCGCACCACTAGTGAGTCCTACACGCAGAGCTTCCAGAGCCGGAAGCCTTTCTTCTCATGGTGGTAGCTGTGGGAGCCACGGGAAGGGCTTGGCCACCTTGGACTAGCACTGCGACAGGAGCTGGGCCACTGCTGGCTCCTGTGGCCAGGACTCAACCGCCTGGGTGGAGCAAGCAGGTGTGGCTGGAGGAACCTGCAGCTGAATGGGAGGAGCCAGGCAGGTCGGGCACGCTCCCTCCCCAGCTCCATCGGGGCTCCGTGCCCTGCCTGGGGCAGAGCCCAGGGGGAGGTGTGGGAATCCGCAGGGAGCCATGGTGTGGCTGGGACCCTGCCCCTGCCTCCCTTCTTCGGCCTGCATGTGGTTCTGAGCACCCCTGCTTGGGGTTGGGATGAGCAGGCCGCCCAGGCCAGGATCCGTCCAGCCCTTTACAGCCACTGGCCCTTTTCTTCCCTGCCACGCTGGGAAGGCCTGTAGCGGGTTATACCCCCTCCCTTTCCCCGAGGGCGTGCTGTGCTTCTCTGTTCTCCCTCCTCTGCCCCAACCCCGTGCACGCTGCTTTCCTCAGGGGGAGTTCCTGCTGCCCGCTGGCGCAGCGGGGACCGCAATGAACGGCTGTTCTCTGGCTGGGGGCTCGAGGAGGGGACACATGAGGGACAACTCACAGGGCTGGCTTGGGTGCGGTTAGACACCAAGGGGAAAGAGGTGCTGGCTTGTCCTTGTGAAGAGCAGGCAGCTTTGGGAGGGGCTGTAGCTTGGAGCAAACCCCCCCAGCTGGAAGGGGCTGAGGGTGGATGTGAGCCCCCTCTCCCCTCTGCTGCCCCAGTCCATCCTCCTGCCAGGTCTCTGCAGCTGCTCTTGCTTGGCTTCTGCCCCCGCTCCCAGTGAGCTCCCTGGCTGCTGTGCAGCCTAGTGGGCGCCAGCCTTGCCTGTGCCAAGGGCCCCCGCAAGGGGCAGGGGGCTGCCGGAGAGGGGCCGAGGGGAGGCGTGATGGGAGCACGGGGGGGCCATCATGGGCTCCTGGCTGCCCCAGTGCTGACAATCTCACAGGCCTGCGGTGGGTGGGTGAGGCAGCGAGCCCCTCTCTCACCAGAAGCTTCTGAGCTTGTGTCATATGAAACGGTACCAAGGCTGCTGCCTGCATCTGCTTGCCTTGAGCTGCGCCTTCTCTGGGGGAAGCCAGTGTTGGGTCTCACTGTCCTGTT